AAGCAAAGTGGATGGCTGGTTGGTTTGTCCAATTTGTTCAACAAACAACTTTGTGCCCAGATGCCCCGGCCCACKGTATTCCTGGGAGCCCTTCCTGATCCCAGGTGCTCTCAGAGTGGAACTTCAACGTGGCTTTCTGGAGACAAAATAAAACCCTCCAGCCCAGAGAAGAAGAGGCAGCCTGAATTCAAGACGGTTTTGCCAATGCTAAAGTGAGAGGAGAGGTTTCAGAATCGAGGCGAGAAGTGTGTGTGTATCTCCAGGTCTCTGCAGTCAGGGAGGACCCCAAGATCAGGCGCTGGGTGGGACTGGCCCCTGTCGGTGCTGGGGCTCTTCACCTCAAGTGCTTCTTCCTGTCCAGTAGGCCAGGGTTAGTGAGTGCATTAGGATTTTGCCAGATGGCTTTTAATTTTTAACCTATTTGGTCACAGGACTAAGAGTTGGAATTGTCCTCCACAGGACTCCGAAATGATTTCTTTGCCAGTTTGATGTGATTTTCGTTTTTTTGAGTTTTGGTGGCTGGTGTAAATGAGGCCAGCCTGGGTGAGAAGGCAGATGTGTTCCACCAGGACCTGGCTGTACCCTGATTCAGCCACCTGGCCATTTGGGTCCTCTCCTGGTGTGGCATCTCCTCCTTCTCCTCCCTGCTCTTTCCTTCTCTCCCAGCCCCTGGCCCTTTTCTTCRTCTCCCCTTCCCTCCACCCCTCCCCATGCTTGACGGGAGCTCATGGTAGGCTTGGTCCTACCTGAAGAAACAATCTGAGGGTGGATGTCTGCCTCTGGCAGGGGTGTGGGCATTTTGCTGAGGTCTCCCTGGACCCTGTGCTTTTGATCCCAAACCTCACTTCCAGCTCCTTCAGTTACATTTGGAAGTTTATAGCTAACTTGCTCCTGTATGGAATGTGAATTCCACCTCCTGCTCGGAGACGTTAAACTTCACCAATCCATCATCKTCACCAGCCAGGACATCATTGTATGTGAGAGACAAGGGCGACTGGGACTCAAGTTGATGGTTGGTGGGAGCCACATCTTGACCTCCAACTTGGGAAGAACCAGGATCACCTACTTGYGTTGTCTTGCACTGACGATGCCGTAAAAAACAGTGTCCCTTGGAAACAGTTGGTAGATTTTATGATGGGCACAGATATTTTACCAAAATTATTTGTAATAAAAATCTATGAAAAAGGGAATCTGAGCTGGCCCACAAGAAAGCTGGGAGCAGAGGGTTTCCTCCTTTCTTTTGATGAGAGGTCTCACTAGAACTTTCTTAGCTTTATAACCTCTGTCTCAATTGCAGGAAGGTCCCTGAGCAGCTGTGGCCACCATGTATGAAGAAAAATGAAAGGGTACAGATGGTGGCTGCCCTGATGGACCAATTAGTCACCCTCCCCTGGCTGTCTACCATCTGGGCTCTGCTTGGGGGCAGAAAATGGAAAAACTCGACCCCTACCACAGGGACGGCTGGAGAAGACAACCAGTAGCAACAAAATAAACCCATTCCCATCACCTGCCTCTACAAGGTGGGGCACGATTCTAGAAGGACTATCGAATGGGGCTTTCTTTTACCAACTGTTTGGTCAACTTATTCTTTTCAAGCAGGGCATGCATGCTGAGAGTACAGCCCAGAGCCTCATGTTTCAGACATCCTCCCAAATGTGTCCCACAGAGTGTCACCTGTCAGGCTAAACCTGGAAAACCACCTGAGCCTGGGCTATCAGGGGAAGACTGACTTTTTAATTGTTTTCAGATGAGCAGGTAATAGGTGTTGAATGAATATACCAAGTTTTCCCACTCTGCCTGATGGGGCTTCTCAGGAGAGTCCAGCGAGGATGGACTTTATGTTTTTAAGTACATTTACACACTCACTTGCCTGTTATTATTTTACTATTGTTCCATTTTTTAAAGTAAGTGTTCATGCCTCATCAAATRGTAATGAGGCAAAGGATCTGATCCAGCTTATGTAAGAAATGTAAATTAAGGTCCTAAATCACTCCACTAATACTGAAACTGTATCTACTTCCTGATAACTGTGATTCTAATTTTCTCCAAAACTGAGTTATCTGTCATCAACAAAATTTGCTAACAAGATGCTTGCTTTCCTTCTCTCTGTGCTCATGAAATCACAGCCTTTGACAATGAATCCTGATAACACCAAGAGAGGCCCCAGTACTTGCTGTATCATTCAGTGACTCTTGGCAGAAAATAAAAACACCTCCATGAAAAATTCTAAACATCAAAAAAAGCTATAAAATATGCATCTTACTGTGACAGGAAATTCAACTATTTACGGAAAACTTTTGTACTTTTCCTATACTTAACTGTTTTAAAGAAGATACATGAAATGAGATGAAAATAAACAACATTCTCCATAAACCAGAACTATGGAAGATTAAATATTGCCTGAAGTGAAATAGCTAAATTCGGTGGATTTTAATTACTTTTGTCCCAATGGGCCCTCCTCCCCATGCTGATTTTTTCGGTCTTTCCCTTAGGTTGCAATGATTAATTTGCAAGCTCAGCCCCATCCCGTCCATGGAACTAAAGTATGGCAGGTGAGATGATTGAGATGATTAGTTGTACTGGGGATTGAACCCAGGGGTGCTCTCTGAGCTACAGCCCTTTTTATTTCAAGACAGGGTCTTATCGGGTTGCCAGATTGGCCTGGCATTTGGGAACCTCCTGCCTCAGCYTCCCCAGTAGCTCAGATGAGAGCATGGCAGGTTTCTTTCCACTGTCAGTCAATGTCTGAGTTGGAATGAGGATGGAGGAGGGTCACCCACTGCCCCATCTTGGCTTTGCTGTAGGACATCTGCTTACTGTCCCTATCACTGGAATCCATCCTTGTTTCTTCTAGTGGCAGGCTGCTGAGATACTTCCCAGTCCCTATTTTCCATTCTCAGGTTTTTAAAAAATCACATTTTCTTGGCTCCAAAAAAAACCCAAAACAAAACAAAACAAAACAAAACAAAAAACCAGCCAGTGGAGAGGATACATAACTTACCAGGATGCACATTTCTCTTGAAAGAATCGAGTGTTGAAAGTCACCTCTGCCCGCCATGTTTTCTCCTATGACTTCCTCTTGCATCCCTTTGGGCACTGCGATTCTAAGTGTAAAGCTTAACACTCACCCAGTGGAAGCCACATCCTTACCAAAAACCTCCTTAATGTTGGCTGAGACAGGAAATGGAAATGGCTTGTGTTATCCCTCCTTCAAAGCATTTCTAGTGCTCAGCCTCCATGAAATGGATTGCTTATGGGGAGATAATGTCTGTTCTATTCCTTTTTAAGTCTGTGAAAAATGTCATCCTGGTTAATAGGGTGATTAAAACTCTTTATGCTCCAGGAGATAAATGTGATTATGTTTGTCATACTCTACCCAAGATAAAGACAGCAAGAAGGCAAACTTGAAATTCCATAACACTTCCTCTCTTCCATATCCAGAACATTCAGAATGCAATACACAGATGGTACTTCACATAAAGAATAACATTATCTGTTAAACATTTTTCCTTTCCATTAACCAATTTAACAGTATGCCTCTGGTATAAAAGGAATAGACTAAATCTTCTGATATCCGAGTTCTGACTGAGGAAAGACATCACTTTAGTCATATTGCTTGTTTTCTTTTTGAAATTTCATCTTTGTTACTTTGTTTTTGCTTTTAAAGTGCAATTGGAGCCAATGCTTAGTACCTATTCTGGGGAATCTGTCCCAGGTAGCTTTCCCTCAGCAGGTGACTCATGGTCCTTTCTACAGGGTCCCTCTGCCATCTGTCAAGGATGTCATAAGTCATGTGTAAGGACAGGGTTTTGTTAGCACCACAGGCCAGCGTTCCCTCACTCCACCTGCGTGCCTTTCTCAGGCTTCCTCTGTGCCAGGCCCCGTGGGAACACAGCATACTCACCAAGGCCTGGCTCCTTCCTAGGGCTGGTCTGCCATCAGTCCAGTGTACCCAGCCCCCACAGCAGRTGCTGTCASAAGTTCAGAAGGCCCCCGGAGGAAGTCCCCACCCTCAAGGAGCTCAAAGGCAGGAATTCATTCAACAGAATCACAATTAATGACTCCCCTTTATCACTCCAGCAACCTAAGGATTCTCATTCCTTCTACCCAGGGAAGATCTTTCAGAAATCAATAGGCTCTCTCCATCTGGGGAAAATGAAAATGGAGATCCTAGCTACAAATGGTTGTAGGTCACCCACCTGCTGAGGGGAGCCTGGACCCAGCCCTCACCTGCTTGGTTTGGCTCCTGCCTCTTCGTTGCATTCAAAGGCTGGAAATCTTCTCTTCAGAGAGTTATTTAAAGAGTTATTTAAAAATGAGTGAAGAAGTTTTTACTCCTCCTCACCCCATACGCTGATAAATTTCACAATCCTTTCCTTTTAGTCTTGGGTTTTTAACAGGTTCCACGTGAACCCAGACACTGATTACACCTGTTTAATTAACAATACAGTAATTTTAATAGGGTAGCGTGGTCTAGAGAAGAATGTTACATTATGCATTTGACATTTCATTTAAAATTTTMCCTTACAACTAAAAGGTTTCATTATAACAGAAATTTCAAATGTGCTTTATTAAACCTGATTGCTGACTAATTAGAGCCTAAGTGATTCTAAGGAAATTGCACAAGTGATGTTCGACCAGGGGTGATTTCTCTGGACATAATGACACATTATTTTCTCTTCTTTAAAGAATTTTAATTTCCAGTAAAAATAATTGCACGTAGACATTATTTTCCATCTGTTTTCTGAGATCGTGGAGGACATGAGAGGGTTACATATGTAGGTAAGAATTAGCTTCATTAAGGAACAGTTACCAATTTCTGAGACTCAGATGACTCTGTTAAAAATATTCAAGATAGGTTTACTTTGAGACAAAACTATAGMTTGTCAGTATTCAGGACCCAGAACTAATTTTTCAAGAAAGTACATCTTATACCCATTATTGTTATTTTAGCCCAGCTGTGTCATTTATCGTAATCTGTTGTTGGCTTTTTGTCCTACCCATGATAGTTCACAGGGCCTTCCAGTGAGGCCATCAGGTGAGCAACTGGAATGTGTCCTAGCTGCAAACCAAAGACTTTCAGGACCACAAGCCACACGACTGCCTCCCACTATGTGGGAGTCACCTATGAGCCTGTCACTTTACACTGCCTCATAGTAACCATCCAGAGTCTCAGGCATATACTGACAGGAAAGGCTCATAAAACCCACTTATTTAGATACGTTGAGGTATCACTGCTGTTAGAGGTCTGCTTATAAAGATTCTTTGTCATACTTTATTATAAACTCTTTTTTTYCCCGGGTACAACCCTTGGTTTATTGTTCCAAACAGACATCTTTCCTTTGGGCCCCCTCCCCCTGGGAAGGCATCCCAATGATTATTATTRTTAAATAGTCATCTGAACTTTGGGAAGACATTTCCCTCCCGACAGACGCAGGCACACAGAAAGAGCGCCTGCCGGGGAGCCCCGACACTGCTGTCCTGCGCTTCATCACAATCTGTTGGTGATCCATGGGGAAACTGCTCCCAGTCCCTTTTCAACTGTGGTGGTGTTTCCAAAACCACCCTTCCTGCAGCAACCATACTGGAATTCACCCATGTCCTTCTATTTAGATTTCAGTGCTTCCTCCCACTCAACAGCTGACGTGGAGTTCTTGGGAATTGTTGGAAATATCGATTGCATTTTACTTCGAAAGTCTTTCATCTAGAAGAAGGAAAAAAAATTGGTCATCAAATGTCAGAAGAAGGGAGAAACAGCAGAAACTATTAGAGACGGCACCTTTGCTGACTGGAAAACACCTCACTGCTCACAGGCACAGAGCAAAAGGAATGACCAATAACCACCGAGGCCTGTATTCCAGCTGCCTCGACAGAACAAAGCACACACCTCTTTTCTTCTTCCAAGTATGAATCCATTAACTAAATAACACAAAATTTCATTCTTAGTCTGGAAGGCAACACTGTCAACCCTCTAGGATATGAATCTGCTATCAGAGGAATGGTGTGGATGGCTGGCTTTCATACATACAGATGTAGCAAAGAATGCCATTTCTGTCAGCCCAAATAAATGAACATACTTAGGTCATTCAAAGTGAGAATTTCAGGGCCAGAGGGAAAGAATGGAGAAAAGAAACTTAGTAGGAGTTTACTAAAACAAATGAATCAATGAATGGCAGATAAATTAGAATGTTCTTATGGGCCAGGCAGTGTGGAAAAGCCAGGGTAGGGGTTTTACCAGCAGAAGCTGATTTGGAGTCCAAGAGTCAGGGCAGGGGTTGGGAGATCTTATGTAGTGCTGACAGGACTCCTGCAGTTCACCTGGGTGCCTGGTCCACCTAAGGCCTACACCCCAGCTGAGAGGGGAGTGCTGGCTCCTGGAGCTGGAGTCTGACACACTCTGATGGATGCTTATCCTCTCTCTGGGTCTGCTACAAAGATGCCATTTTGGCAGCACCACAGCCTCACCGTTTCTCCTCATCTGGATTGTGAAGGACCCTGGACTCATCAGTAACATGCAGACATTCTTAGAGTGGTTATCTGAGAGTTAGTTAATATATTTTTTCATGTTGATACTTATTTTTTCAAATTGAGGCTAAATCTTTACCTTGTTTCCAAATTCAGAGGTGATATCAGAGTCTCCGTTCAAACTCTAGTTCCGCCACCTGGAAAAGCTGCCTACTCTCTCCAGCCATAGTTTCCACTATGCAGAATGGAGATAATAACTATCTGCCTTCAGTTGTGAGGATTGCGATGATGCACATAAAGCACACCTACTGTATGTTAGGTGAACACACATTATAAAAATGTGTTCTAAGAACAAAGCTCACATGGATATAATTATAGTGGTTTATTTGTTAAAAGCATTACTTTACAGTTATATATAATTTTGGTTGAACTATTCTGARACTGAAGATACTTAAGGATATATCCACTATATAGTCTTAGGTGACCCACGCCAAGCATCTCCAAGCTCTAGACCCAGATTCCAATCTTGAAGATACACACATTATGGGACATGCCTCTTTCCCCCACCCCTTTTTTTCACTCTCCATGCTGAGAAGAGTTTTTGCACTATGATGATCCCTTTATGAGAGGTTCTTCACTAGGGACAGTACTTCATCCCTGGAAGGACCTGGAATATGGGGGAGGTGTGTCTATTTCTGGTTGTCACAATCTTGGTGGACTACTATTTGTATTTGGTCGGAGTTTTTGGTAGTTTTTTACTCTGAAAATCCTTATTGATGGTACACAGAAAGAACTGACTTCTCCAAAGCACCAACCATACCCCCATTGAGGAACTTTGCACAGACTTTCATAGTTGAAAAACAGGCACTTCTCGGACAGGGTTTACAATGTGTTGCCTGGTTCTCTCCCTTCGTCTTTCCGGGTGAACATGTTAAAACTTAGCTTAATGACACAGTTTTCAAAAGGGATGTGAGATGGCCAAGGCACAGGCAGCATCATTTACTGTTCTCCCTTCTCAGTGACATAGAATAGTAAGCTGCCAGGAAGCAGTGGGTGGGAAGCAAAGGAGGCCAGGGTAGGAGAGTGAAGGGCAGCTGCTCAACTTCAGCAGGATAGTGCTCCCATTCCCATTCCTGGCCTGGTTTTCTTCTTTCCTCTCATTTCCCCCATACTGTATTATTTACTTGTTCCCAGGGTCATAGGTAAGTAACTGAACCAGTAGGAGGAATCATCTGGAAAACAGCCAACCAGGAATATAAGGGCTTCAAAACAGCAGAAAGAACTGAGGAGAGTGGGGGAAACACCACTTAGCCCTAGTCTTGAATGCTCAAGCTGTGGATATGGAAACCCAACGTCTACATTTAAGTTATAAACAGGTCTCAAGTTGCTTTAGACAATGGAGCTCTGCATACTTAAAATCTTCAGATTTTTTTCACTAGAGATAGCACTTCATCCCTGGAAGGAACTGGAACTATAGGGGGGTGTCTATTTCTGGTTGCCACAATCTTGGTGGACTACTATTTGTATTTTGTGGGAGTTTGTGGTATAGTTTTTTATTCTGAAAATCTTTATTGATGGTACACAGAACTGACTTCTCCAAAGCAAAACAACAACAACAACTTCAGATTTTAAGTATATGTAGCTTAACCATGTGACTAGTGTATATGAGAAAAAAAATGTGTGTCACTTCCAGGCTGAGTATTAACCATAGGAGGTGACTTCCTAGGCCTCTCCTGCATTCCCATTGTAACACTGGAAATCTGTCACCAAGGTGGTGCCTTAAATGTCTACATTTAAGTTATAAACAGGGTCTCTAGTTGCTTTAGAGCTCCATATGGAGCTCCAAATATACTTAAGATCTTCAGATTATACCTCAGTTTAATTAATTTCTGAAAATCCTTACAGCATCAATTCTAATAAATGGGCAGTTATTGGAATTTAAAACTCTTTTGAGTTGTGTTTGCCACTAACGAGTTCACTTAGTTTCTATCTTCTCACTTGCAGATGTAGGACTATTGCCAGGATCATTATAGGATCTACTGATATGAAGGCACAGCCTTTAGATATGTCAGTGATTATAGCGTCAATGATAACTTTTAAGAATATGATAATTCAGTTTCTTCCTAAAACAGAACAGAGTAAGACCATATAATACTAATATATCAGGAGATAAAAATTATCGTTAGGTTGTAAAAGTGTTACTTGAACAGGAATCATAATGTTTATCATTTGGGATATCCTATGTATCAGGCACTGGACAAAGCACCATTATTTAATCTTCAAAGTTCTATATAGCTTAAATTATGACTCTCCGCTTTATTATGAAAAACTAATTTGTTCCCATGATGTAGGCTCCCTGTTTACCTCTCTTATTGTTTCTCTTGCTGAGAAAAAACTTTTTAGTTTAAGTAAGTCCCATTTGTTGATTTTTGTTATTAACTCTTGTGCYATGGGTGTCCTATTAAGGAATTTGGAGCCCGACCCCACAATATGTAGATCGGAGCCAACCTTTTCTTCTATCAGACGCATAGTCTCTGATTTGATATCAAGSTCCTTGATCCATTTTGAGTTRACTTTTGTGCATGGYGAGAGRARGGGATTCAGTTTCATTTTGTTGCMYATGGATTTCCAGTTTTCCYAGCACCATTTGTTGAAGATGCTATCYTTCCTCCATTKCAWRCTTTTAGCCCCTTTATMRAATATAAGATAGTTGTAATTTTGTGGATTGGTTTCTGTGTCCTCTATTCTATACCATTGGTCCACCCGCCTGTTTTGGTACCAGTACCATGCTGTTTTTGTTACTATTGCTTTGTAGTACAGTTAAAAAAAAAAAAAAAAAAAAGAAAAACCAGAGGTAAGAGAGATGATATGGCTCCTAAGGATACTTGCCTGGCTGACTGATGTCTAGGAATCTCCCTTCAGTCACTCTGTTTCTATGATCCAGAAACACAAAGTGTCTCTAAAACTTTCACCCATGTGCCACCTTTCACTGAAAACATTTTAAAAAACATAATATATACCTCTTATAATAGTGGATATTTTCTTTTGGATGTATGACAGATGTAGCACTAATTTTCACCAAGAACCAGTATACATCTACTTCTGGAGATAAGGGATCATACTCCCACTTCTTGAAGTTCGATAACCATGTAACTAGTGTATATACGAAAAAGAAATGTGTGTCACTTCCAGGCTGAGTATTAACCACAGGAGTTGACTTTCTAGGCCTCTCCTGCCTTCTCATCGCACGCAGTACTGGAAATCTGTGTCAAGATAAAAGTAACCTGAGGTGCTAAGCCAGAACTTGAAGAAGAGCTTTCCAAGAGAGTCACTTGAACCCACTGTGGCTTCTACATGAGTGAGAAATAAACCTCTTTATTTTAAGGGAGATTGTGGGGAGATCGTCTTTCATTGTGGCATAACTCAGCCTATCCTGGCTGACATAAGGCATACTCTGATACTCTAAAGTCATACATTATGACTGTAACACGGTTGAATGAAAGCTTATCACATAAGAGGGAACAGGGACTCTGCAAATGAGCCTACAAATCTCTTATAACCACTTGGGTCAAACAAACCACCAGTTTTCCCATGTTCAGGGAACTCAGCACATCAGTTAAKCCCTTTATATGAAACTGTTTCCTGGGGGAATTAGAACATTTCTAGATGTTTTCAGTGAAATTGTATATGGGAGATCCATCCGATCAGCATACACAGGGCCATTTTTTTTTTTTTTTTTTTATGAGGGATTGCTGTCCTAAATCTGTTTGAAAAATTCAACTAAGCAGCCAGCACTGGCTTGGCTTAGAGAGCAGATACTGATTGCAACAATGATTTGAAGATGATATGTATTAGAACATAATCATGTTGTTCATTTAGATATTCAATGGTGTTAGGAAAGCTAATGTGAATTTTTAAATCTCAGCTTTCCATTTTCTAAGTTATTAATATTGTCCTTTAAGTAAAGGATAGATAAACCATCTTTACTTTTTCCTAAACTCTTAGTATATCATGTCTATAATGTCTATAATATGAACTGAAATGAATGTTTTCTGAGAAAAGCAATTCTCACTAAGATGGCCAAGTCTTATGAAGCAATTAAAAACAGGGCACAACTGAAAAGCAAAAGCTGTTCACATGAAATAAACCAAGCAACAGGGATGACTCTTGGAGCCAGGGCCCACAGTACTAAGACCTAGCCCAGCTAGAACAATTTATAATAGCATCTTGATTTCTCACAGGCATGTCTGAAATGCTTTCACTAAATCAGGTTTTACTTTTGGTAACTGCACAATTCAAGGGTTTCTTTTTTGCCAAATCAATGACAGTAGCTGTACCACCTGTGACCTCTTTCTAAAGATATTCTACTCTACTGCATTGAACTTTTTTTTTTAAAAGATATTTATTTTTTAGTTGTAGATGGACACAATATCTTTAAATAAATTTTTATGTGGTGCTGAGGATTGAACCCAGGGCCTCACACGTGCTAGGCAAGTGCTCTACCGCTGAGCCACAACCTCAGCCCCCCTGCATTGAACGTTTGGTAACAGCTACATCTGATCACCATTATTTTCATATCTTAATGGTCTCGCTTCACAGGCATGCATGCACACGTGTGCTGTACACACACACACAGAGTCCCCATTTCATGATGTTTGTGTTTAATGGTCCAGCTGATTGGCTGTCCCAGCAAAAAGAGGGAAGCCTCAAGATGGATTCATTACAAAAAAGTACCATGTGTGTACACAATTTTATTTCTACATTAGAGGAAGTTACAACTTTTAAAAAGAGTATATAARTGAACATATTTATCAATGAGCCAGAATGAATTAGTATGTATTTAACAAAAAGAATGGAATTTCTATAACACAATAAACACCAATATCTTTGTTTTGTATCCAAAACCAAACAGACTTGTTTTTGGACAAGATAGCAACGACACTGATGTTCAAGGAAAGTACTGATACATAAGAGACACCAAAACCCCCTTTTGTGTGCAGTCAAGAATTGTAAAAAGTACCATCTAACATCTGAATACTAAATAATAAAAACCAAACAAACAAAACCTGGAGGGCTAAATAAAGAGGGGAACCTCTTCATCAATTTTTAGGAATTCAAGTTATTCTAAACCTTGGCATACACAATCCTATATCTACATTTTGTCTTAAGTAACTTCAGAATGGTGTCTCCAAACAACTTCAAAGCTTGAGCTCCTTCTGAATTCCCCAAAGAGTTTTTGCACTCTTTTTGAAGCGGGCCTCCTCTTCAGGGGTCATCTTTATCTTTATAATGTCTGTTATACCATTTTCTCCTAGGACACAAGGAACACTGAGGAATACTTCTTCATTTATTCCATAAAGACCCTTAATTATGGTGGAAACTGGATGCACTCTCCTGAGATTCTTCAAGATACTTTCTGTTAAATCAGCTACAGATAGGCCAATGGCCCATGAAGTATAACCTTTCATTTTAATAATCTCATAGGCACTGTTAACCACTTCTCTGTGGACATTTTCCCACTGCTCAGGGTCCTTACCAGTACCTATAGCTGCGTTCAGATCTTTTAGAAGGACGCCAGCGATGTTCACTCCACTCCACACGGGAACACTCGAGTCTCCATGTTCTCCAAGGACCCACCCGTGACAGCTTTCGGAGTGGATACCAAGCTTTTGTCCAATCAAAAAACGGAAACGAGCAGTATCCAGATTACAGCCACTTCCAATAACGCGGCTTTTGGGAAACGCACTCAACTTCCAGGCTACGTACGTCAAGATATCCACTGGGTTGGAAACCACGATGAGTTTGCAGCGGGGGCTGTACTGGACGACACTGGAAATCATCAATCTAAAGATGGCCACATTCCGCTGGACTAAGTCGAGGCGGGTTTCTCCCTTCTCCTGGCGCGCGCCTGCCGTGATAATCACCAGGCTGGAGTTGGCGGTGACCAGGTAGTCTCTGCTGCACACGATGTTGGGCAGCTTCGCGAAGGCGCTGCCTTGCTGAAGGTCCAGGGTCTCGCCCTTCAGCCTGGCTTCGTTAACATCCACGAGGGCGAGCTCGTCGCTCAGGCCTTTCAGCAAGATGCTTAGGGCGCAGGCCACGCCCACCGACCCGCTCCCTATAATGGACACCTTGGCGTGGTGGACGCGCTCCTCGGGAGCCAAATTCTTGAAGAGCTCCCCCTTCACGGTCGCCATCTCCGACACTGGCGTGAGCAGCCGGCCGCCGCCCAGCGGGACCTGCGCCGCCCGAGGGGGCCTGCGCGCCCTCCCGGGGCCCAGGAGCTTCGCGCTGGCTCTCTGGTTGGACCGCAGCAAGCCGGCAGCCCAGCTCATGGCTGCGCACTCAGGAGGAAGAGAGGGAGGAAAGCCACCGCAGAGGCACAGTCCGTCGAGGGCCAGAGGAACCTGGCGAGGGCGAGTTAACGCCTCTGCGCAGGCCCCGCCCGCCCACGTGGCCCCGCAGGCCACGCCCCCATCCCACCAGGCCTCGCCAAGCGCCCCAGCTCCGCGCAGACCAAGGCTTGGGGATGGGCTTCCTGTCCAGCGAGGGCATCCTGCAGTTGGTTTTATACACATACTCTAACGTTTGGCAGGTGAACCCAGAGTCCTGGAGTCATCGATTTTCTACTCTGAGTAGGCAGACCAAGTAAGATGCGTCAATCAAGTACAGGTGAGTATGTTAAATTGCAGGCCACAAAGGTGCTATGCATTGTCTCCCAATAGCATTGGAAGAGAAATGGGCTCCTGTTTCCCAGTGTATCTAGCTGAAGGACCTTTTGTTTAGGAAGGACTGACCATGACCATGACCATGATTCACACCCATGGAARTTGATAGGTGCTCGACAACAGGGCAAGGGGCTGCCCGTGTATTACTTCAATAGTCAAAACTCACCAGGAGAGGATACCCATTCCTTCTTATACCAAAGGAAGGCCTGTGATTGAGTCCTAGTAAAAACAACTTCTTAAGAAGTCACAAAAAAGGAACTTATCTTTAGAATGTTCTTAAAATCACAAATTTTAAGCAATGCACAAATTAGACTGATGACTAAAATGATGAAAATTATTTAGTATACAACACTGTATCAGTATATCTTACTTCCTTTGCATTTTTTCTAGGCAGTCTTCTTAACTAATTTCCTTACAAATTGCTGAGGAGATGTACATTTTACATATGATGAAATGCACAGTCTGATAAACTCAATAACTATAAAAGCCTCAATTACAATTATGATTCTTTCTCCCCACTTATAAATGATTTGAACCCAGTAAGGATTGCTCAAAGCACCCCTCTTGTTCTAAGACAGGATTTACTCTCCCAGAATGGGCTTCTTGGTACATATAGCCCTTTCATAATCCACAAGATTACAGTTTTGGGATAACAAATCCTGACAAAATGAATAATTTATATTCAGGACATGAAAAGCTGTTCTCATTCTTCCTGCCACTGAAGAGAGGAACAATATGCAAAGGAGTCGGATGAGGGGTGGGGAAAATTGGCAATCATTGTAGTTCCACAACCTTGTTTCAATGTGACTCATTGGCTGTGATGATGCACTGTCTAAGCCATAGGGACCCCAACACTCTGTTTAGATGGTACAGAGCCACAAGCTCTGTGACACACAAAAGCACAAAAGCATCAGAACATGAATTCTCTCCACTCAGGCAGTCAGATTTATGGTATACCATTTGTCAAATTAAAAACCTGAATTTTAAAAATAATCATCTTTATTGAATGGTAGCCAATATTTTAGAGGGATCCTTTAAAAGAAACAAAAAGATTTTGATAGCTATCATTTCTTTTATCCTAGTCCTCACTGGAAATGTTTTAACCTGATGAGTGCTCCCACCTTCTTCCTAAATGATTCCTTTGACCAGACAAGTCATTTTCCAGGATAAGTGCTCTTGAGCATGAAATTCAAGGACATAAAGACTCTAAAGTGGATGGCTTCCTTCTATGCAATTTTCTTCCTAGAGTTTGAATTTCTTCAGCAATTTAATATCTGAGACCAGTGTCTTCAGTCTTTTCCCCTAGCCATAACTAAATCATTATAGGGGTGGGTTGGGATGGGTAAACCTCTCCAAAATAAAAATACATCAAACAAAGCCACTTTTTATTTACAATAAGTCTCAAGATAAGATGGGAAGTACTAAGAAAGATGAAGAGACGTAAGTGACCTCYAGAGCACATGTAGGTCTACTCAAAGTTGTGGAAAGCCAAATATAGCCAGACAGCTCCCTAATGGTTTCTATCTTAGGTGGCTCATTATTCTTTTTGAATTGAAAAACTAGCTCAAATTATCTATTCAAAATGCAGTGTGATATTATAGCTGATGGCAGGATTACACTTTAATGCTTTTGTTTATACCACTCAGGAAGGAGGTGGCAGGAAATTCAGACCACTGCATGTCTCTGGAATGGCTGCAACTCAGTCACTCTGTCCTTCCACCTGGCTTCTCCCAGCACACTCCCACTCTCCTTTTTCTGTCCAGGAGCCCAGTTCCCACAGCCCATCCTTTCACAGATCTTGCCAATCCTTCAAGCAGAATGGATTTTTAAAAAATCCTATGTCACCACTTTGTACCTATCTCTATTACAGGATTTATCACAATTAAATGTGAAATACTTATTGAATATATCACTTCWAAAGGGATCAACCTTATTTATTATCGTATCCTTATCCTCTAGATCAGAGATGGACACATGAATAAGGATTTGGGAAATGCTTATGATAGAAAAGGATGAGTAAATCAACGCAGACCTGAATTTGTAAGGCTAGAAAGAAGAGTAAGAAATGAAAATCTGGGCTAGAGAATCTACCTGRTGCTACAACAGAGGTAGTAAAATGAGTGATGCCCCTTTAGGTTATTTTATTTATTTATTCATTTATTGTTTATTTATTTATTTGATACTGGGCATTAAACCCAGGGGTGCACTTGACCACTGAGCCACACATATTTATCCATTTTTACATTCTATTTTGAGTCAGGGTCTCACTAAGTTGCTCAGGGCCTCTCTAAATTACTGAGACTGGCTTTGAACTTGCTATCCTCCTGCCTCAGCCTCCCAGGCCACAGGTGTCTGCAACTGTGCCCAGCTCCCTTTGGGGTTTCTTAGCAAGGCTAATGCATAAATTTCAAATAAAACTGTGAATAAGTTAAAAAAAATTCTTACCTATTTTCATAGCCAAGCATTTTTCAAACCTTAACCAAGTTAAACAACAACAAAATCTATACTACTAGAAATACAGTGAAACAAGTATGCAAATGGAAGAGAAAATATTTTTAAACATTAGAATTATTTAAAATGTTGTTTTTGGGAACCATTAAGAAAATAATCAGCCTAAGCAACTTAGTAAGACTTTGTTTCTAAATAAAATATAAAAAGGGCTGGGATGTGGCTCAGTGGTTAAGCACCCCTGGATTCAATCACTGGTAGCCCCCCAAAGAAATCAGCATAAGAATTCCTTGATTTGGGGGGGGGAAGGATCCAAATGAGTAAAAATTAGTGTTAATTAACATTATAATCTGATCTGAAACAGGCTATAAACTCACAAGGAAGGAGAGCATTACATAAACAAAATTATTTGAAAAGCTTTCTTTGTAATTTTAAAGTTATAAAATTATATTTTAGAATTAAAGAAGCCTCCAAGTCTCCAAGGAGCACCATGCCAGCAGCACCATCCCAGTTCTGACAAGCAAAAGTGCCTCCAGATACTGCCACAAATCTTCTACATATATTCTGGGGCTAGGTGGGGGGACATTTTTGCCTCCAGTTGAAAACCAATAAGTTAAAGAATAAGCAGGGGCCAGATCACAGAGGGGTGCATAAACCATTAAAGGAACTGAACTTCATTCTCAAGGCAAAGGGAGCCATTGAGATAGCAGAAGCCATGTAATCAGATTTCATTCAACAAATATTTAAAAGACACCTACTAATGGAAGGCACTATGACAGGTGCCGATGATACAATGAGCAAGATAAAGAAGTATTTACATTTTTACAAAGACTGATAAAACAAGAAAATAGGTCAAATAATTTTATTTTGCAATTGGTGCTGTGAAGAAAATAGGATAATRAGTAATTTTTAGACCATATGGTCTGAGGATACTTCTCTGAGGAGGTGAAATAAATCTGGGTGGAAGTTCTGAATGGCAATAGAGCTGGCTGTACAGAGAGTCAGGCCATAAATTTCCTGGGTAAAGCTAGAATAAAGGTCCTAGGCAGGAGTAAACCTGGTGTATTGGGGGAACAAGGGGACTGGCAGGGCCCAAGTGTAACAGGAGAGGTGTGCAACTGGGGTAGCTCAGGACAAGGTCAGGGAAGGAGGTGGGGCTTTACCATGCAAACCTTCTTCCACAGGAAGCTAGTGAAGAGTTTTAAGTGAAATAGTGTTATAACTTAACTTACATTTAAAAAATATCTCCAGCTGCTGTGTGGAGAAAAAAAAATGCAGGGGAAATGAAGGTGAGGTCAGGAGACCAAAAGGATGCTCAATACACTAGGTAAGAGAAGAATGGAGGCGGAGAGAGATGGAGGCTATGAGCTACAACAAACAGGTCTTGCCCATGGATTAGAAGGGATGAAGGGAAATGAGAGAATCTGAAACAATTCTCACCTGGGCTTTTGGTTTGAACTAGGGGGACGGGTGATGGTGGTCCTTCCTGAAATGGGGGAGACTAGGTGAGGAATACATTGGGAGGAGGTGAGGAAATCAAGAGCTCTGGGTGGGACGTGGGTCATTAGACATGCCTGTGAGACACAGTGAAAATGGARAGTGCAGCCGAGAGGCAAGTCTGAAGGGCTATATATCTGGATACCACTCGAATGGACAGATTGATTTAAAATGCCAGGAGCTAGATGACAGAGCCGAGGGTCTGTGCACAGATGAAGAATGAAGAGTCTCTGTATGGAGTCAATGGATTAATGTCAAAAGTATCAAAGGAGGAGCTGGCAAAGACCAGTGAGGTCCAAGGTGTCTCAGAAACCACAAGACCCACAAGACATTGCTTCCTGAGAGGTTGCTCAATGGGTCAAATGCGGCCAGAAGGTCAAGGAACGGAGGTAAGATCTGGATCTAGCAAGGAGAGCACTGGCAACCTGGACAATAGCACTGCAGTCCCAAGGAAAGAAGCTGGCAGATAGAAAGGGGAAGAAGTGGAAATGACCACCACATACAGTCCTTTCAGGAAATATTTTCTGTGAAGGGAGCAGACCAATGGGAGAGAACAGCACATCTGTACATGCTGCAGCAACAGGGAGAATGTAACCATCAGTAAAGCCTGAGGAACAGGAGAGCAGCAAGGTCTCTGGGTAGATGACCAGGATTGGGACCTA